GATATATTAGACAGTTTTGGGAGTTTAAGCAGCATGACGCGTGGAGCCCAGGTGTCTCATCAAGGCTCAATACCTTGTGTCGCAATGTCGCTCCCCGGGCACAGTCCCAATCTCCCCCTCCCCTGTCCTGTCCTGTCCATACAGCCTTGCATCCACCCAGCTTCCTTACACCCAATCGTTCTTCCACCCACGCCCGCCAACCTACCCGCATACCGTCTCTCAACCCACGCCCGTATACTTACCTGCATATCTCTCCGTCCCACCCACCTTCACTCCACCCACATGCCTACCTGCTCGTCCCACCCACCTGCACATCTACCCGTTCTGCCCACACCATACCTATCCACCCGTGACCTTCGCTACGGTGACATAAAACGTCCCAATACACCGCTGCTTCGTGCCCCCCCCCACACACACACACACACCAGACCTCGTCCTACGCTAGAGTATCAGGTGACTTTTCCTCCCTTGTCACTCACAGCCCAGCGCTCATGACCACCACTAAAATAATGTTCCTAACTAACCCATTCCCCCGTCCCATAGCCCCGCCTGTCCCCTGTGGCAAAATACTGGAGTTGTGGTGACCACTATAAACACAGCAACCTTCACCACCACAACACATTTGCCAGTACCCTTCCTCCATCCTCTTCACCCACCAACATACGTTATCCGGGTTATGAATGATACCCGATCAGTGTGTTACAGCGTGGTGGAAGCGGTGCACCACCAGCGTGTGCACACCTCCACAGTACCCGCACGACCACACAGTCTCATACTCGCCAAACTTGTGAGATCCGTCTGCCTTGCCTTACCTCACACCCACTTAACACAGAACAGTGTAAACACGATACTGTACTGGCCGATATATATCACTGAAGATTAAATTATGCATGAATTTCAGTAAAGGGGAGGGAGGGTACCCATGGCCGCTTCACTCCCAACGTCACCTTACCACACCCACTAAGTCAATCACCTTGTGAAGGTCTTCTTGTTTTCTGGAATGTTTCCCGGCCCGTCAGGGTAAATCCCCCCCCAACGTCCCCGGACGAGGGTAGAGGTTAATTTTCCCCATCATGCCTGACCTAATTGACTGGACAGAGGTGTGTTGTGTCGAGTTACTTTCTACAATACTGAATCAAATCTGGACTGTAAATTATGTTTTTTTTTTCAATCAGTCTCTAAATTCGCCAAATTATATTACGTTTTTCTATGGGTACTTGTGGCTAAATGTCATATCTGTTGTAGTGATCAGTCACTTTACTAATACTTCACTACACGACACTTAACAACGCGAGGATTTATTGGTAAGTAAACCATAACTAGAGCACTGTGATCACACTCCCGGAAGACCTGAGGAGAGGAACCAGCTGAACAACGAGGTCGCCGACAAAGTACAACAGCGGTCTTCACCAATGAGCGAGGTAGCCTCTAAGAAACCAGATTAATTATAGTCCTGTGGTTGCATTACACTTAGTCAGGAGATAAATTGGCGTCACTGACCACGTCCTGACACCCCGTGGTCTCTCCTGCCCACACTTACTGAGTACACACCCAGGATGTGGGGAAGGTGTTGGTGTCTGCTGACTGGCTCACTCGTTTGATTATATTATCATGGACTGTATTAGAGTACCAACTCACATGACTAGTCACACACCAATCTTCAACCTGCCTGCGCCCCCCCCCCCCAGGCAAAACATCAGCACCTGGGTAGAGATGGAAAAAGGTTCTCCTGAGAACCATCCGACTTAAACAGGAACACACATGACCACTATAATGGTCTCTAACACACTAGTCCTCCCGTCGTCTAAACTCATTACTTGTCATATCTCCAAAGACCATCCCCTTCCCCGTCACATGAGTGTATACAACAACGGCCCCGGAGGTGTGAGCACGCTACCCCCCCAAGCTGTCAACACGTGCAACAAACCACTCAGCAAGACCAGCTGTGTCCACAATACTGCCCGGTTGGCTAACTGGCCCTAGCTACTATACACCAAGTTACAACCACCCCACTAGGGCCTTCCTCACCCCCCGTTTATCACAATATTACTGATACAGAATATGAGTCTTGGTGATCCCAGGCCTGACTGGTGGCGGCAGGGCAGGAATTTTTGACGAGGTGATGTAAAATTTAGGTCAGGTGGTGGTGTACCTCGCGGCCACACCCAGACCTCATGGTGCTTACACCCGCTTTATGGAGGAGACATCAAAACACGTCTTGGTATTTCATTCTTAAGGGAAACAAGACAAAAGAAAACAAAAACACCTGCAATATTTAGCATTGGGGACGATCTTACTTTAAAAATTCAATTACATTACGACGGCGACAAATTCATCAGCTCAGGGTAAGAATGAACCACATATCCAGCTTTGTGTCTAGATGAACACTGATCAGTAAATAGCACGAGAACAGTGGCGGTAGTGTGGTGCAGTAGTGATAGTGTGGTAGGATAGGGTAGAGGGTTAGCTAGAATACCAGCCCCCCCCCCCTCTTTACAAACCCCCTAACAGCTGGTACTATCAACGTCGTTTTTCTAGTATCGTGGGTAGTGGAGGAATGTAACAAATGCGAGGTGAGGACTGAGGGTGAAGGAGGGACACGTGGCCTGGCAGCTGGGGAATCCACTCCACACTGTACTTACTCCTACCATCTCCCGCCCTACACGCTGTTTACACCCACTGAAAAATCTCTCTTCCTTTTCGTTACATATTTTGAAGTCTCGTGATACTCAACTAACATCCACTCATATGATCTTGAAGTTAAGGGATATTATTTCTTTATCAATAATACTAAATGAATATCAAAGAACTACAGAGTCAAGTACAGGTATGAGTACACCTGCTGGGTGACGGGGGAGGACAAGGCTAGTCATTAGTGTACCGGGGTGGGAGGCGAGTGGTCTAGCGAGTTGGGCAGATGAGGGAGGAGGGAGGAGCGAGGGGCTGGATGAAGGATGCCAGATAAGGTAAACAGACCTATGGATTGACTGGTAAAACACCCACACCCATTGACTGAGTGAGGGCGAGTCAGAAAGCTTAAGGTGGGTTAAATAAGGAAATTAACCAAGGGAGAGTAAGGGTCGATTGGGCTGCTCGGGTGGTTCAGGGTCGACTATGTTTCCATGTATACAGTATGGCCAAAAGGATATAAACAGTGTGGGATGTGATATTGTTGATTCTGGCCCTCAACCCTCATCCTCCACACCACAGTCACTCTCTAGGATGTGGAAAGCCCTCATACACAGGCCTGGGGTATTCGTGTTCAGTATTCAAGGCATTTTATGACTACGAGTATTCATATTCAACAAAATCCATTGTTTTCATGAATATTTGTGAATACTTTTATGAACACATCTGAAGGATTGGAATTTTAGTGCAGAGGAAATTAAAACTGTACTGGCAGGTATTTTACATTATGCCCAGGTTACTTTAATTAGTGAAGGGTCATGATGGGGATTGTATACTTGGTGTACGGGTTCTCTTACAGTCAGCTTGTAGAGAATTTGTATCAAAGTATCTGATAAAACTTCCTGGTATTCAATAATTTACAGGTGTACTCGATCCCACGCCTACAACGTACACCAAAAAGCTTCGAGGTGTGTGTGTGTGTGTGTGTGTGTTACAGATGGTGCTCCTCCGCGTCACCCATTAACCTGCTACCGTGTACAACTCAATGGACGTGTGAGGCACAATAGCGGGAGTAGATTACACCAGGAAAACCAAACAACTCCGGGATGGTTCAACAGTCGGTGGACAAGAGCAGTCACGGCCAAGAGTTGAGGATAACAGTATCTAGTCAGGAAGTTTGGTCATGTATACACCACCACCAGCGTGCTGTATTGTACACGGCCATTTTGTGATGTACACGGCCACACTGTACGGCACACAACCACCACCACCACCACCACCGACCATACACTCCCTACATGTTCTCGCCAGCTCAATCCCTAACCCTTCATATAACCCAAGATAATGATAACATCTGTGGTGAGGCGACAGCTTCAGGCCGCGACAGATCCCTGAACCAGTTACGTAAATGCACTTGTCAAGCCGCGACACTTCATCTGTCACTCCCGGCCAATATTATGTGACAAACGCTTCAGCATCGTGTTACTGATATACAGCCTCCATAACGCGCCTCCATATCGTGGTATGTTTACTATTGCTCGATTTATATGTTTAGTCGACCTTCCCCTTCGACGTAATGAAGTTTGTAAGTTTTTGACAAAAGAGCTGATGTGCCATGCATGAAAATCATTGTCCCTTGATAACTCCACAATAAAAAACCTATAAACAATTCCATAAAATTATTTGATAAGCCGGCGTATGGTAAGAGATTTTTTCCTATTTATCCTATAGGTCAGTATGACGCAATCCCAGCCTTCACTACCTATCAATGGTAACCAGCGGCGGGACAGTCTTGGGAGGCGAGGGCCGTGGTTGTAGCCCCCGGGGGAGACAACAACTAGTGGTGATGGGACCTCCTGGTCCCCCTCACTCTAAGGAGACACCCTAAACTCTCGTGGCTGTTCATCATCTGCGACTAAAAATACCTATGACGAGGTGTGTGCAAGAGCAGCCTAGCCCAGCTGTTCCACGCCTCACACAGGTGATACTGCCCACCTGTGACACCATCGACAAGCTCTCTCTGTGCACCTGTACAGTCACCCACGCGGAAAGTGAAACGCACGTTATGCCAGCAAACAACAGGAACAGCAAACCTATGCAAATCAGCATGAAATACAAAAACAAATCTAAGTTTTCTCTGGTAAACTCTAATCATTAGTGTCCCTGTATGGCGGTCTAAGAACAGCAGTGTACTTGAATGAACGCCATAAAATAGTGGTGTACTTGGCTGAACGTCTCGAAACTGTAGTGTACTTGCTTATACGTCTTAGAAGAGCGGTTGAGCTTGATAGAAAACAATGATATACTAGAGGCAGAATATAGAGACACCCACGAAGACACAACAAGAGTGGGAGAGACTGTACTGTACTCACTTGGTGTTGAGTTCCCTGAGCTTGGTCTCAATCTTCTTGGCGACCCTGGCGTTGGAGGCGGAGGTGAGGAGAGCCTCAGCCGAGTCGTTGATCTGCACCACCGACGCCTGCGGGAGGAGAGGAACAACAATGAGTTACTCACACTGCTTAATGTTTACATACACACGTGACCTTAAAAGGGCATACCTTCCCCTCCCTCCCCGTCACTCACCGCACACGTCTCCCGCCACTCACTTGACCTTTTATAGACGTGCACTTGTAAGTTTACGTCAGTTGTCTATTAACTTATTCATCTCTTTACAAACTGAGACTAACACACTCACCTTATCGGTATATAAGCACATACATACACATAAAACCAGTAATGCTGCGCACGCACGCACGCGAACGCACACACACACGGTAATGTAGTTATGTATGTGCTTACACGAATAAGATGGTATTTCCCATCTATACCTAATTATCATCATACACTATACCATACTATCGTGATAAGTGCTGCCTCTCGTCTCTTACACTTGACAGCACAAGACTCAACAATAAGTATGAGCAGTCATGTACCCGCGATGATGCAATGCTGACCAGAGCAACTGCCACCACCATCAGCACGCACCGGGAGGGGCTGTCACTACACCTGTCATAGAAATATTTACCGGTCTGCCAACACCGATATGTAGAGATTAACACCAAAGCCACCACGCACCGGGAGGGATGGAGGGCGGCTATCAATTATCTATTCTGGTATCCACGCCCCAGGGGTGTTAACAGGGCCACCTATATAGCCTCATCATTTAACCCATATTGCACACTGGTGTCCCAAGTCGCCATCATCTCTGATCAATATTCATCCACTCCCCAGTCTCAGGAGATACATACACAATGCGGCAGGACAAAGGACGCGACAATAGTCCATCTTCCTCAAGGTGAAATCTTTTGTCGATGGGGTTACCTCATTGGCCGCGGGGAAGACATTTTAGTTCTACCAGGATCGATCGAATGTGCTCCTGTGCCTCTGAGGAGCGGGATGGGTGTACAGCTGGATTTCGCGGGGACTTAAAGAGTTTGACAGTCTTATTAGAAAACAGGCACAGAGGTGACGGGGTGTAGCTGTCGTGGAGTTATGCGGGACACGACACAAGGTATGACAGAACATCTTGGGAAGCTCAGGCCCCATCTGTCGAGGTGATGCTGGTTAGTGGACTGTCATGTGTCGCAGGGAGCACCGACCAAGATTACCGAGATAAACACACACACACACACACACTTTGTGGTTTGTCTTACTATCGTTGTCCACCTTCCACCTGATAGTAAACTTGTACCCCCAAGGACATGACACTCCCGGCAAGACATGGGCGGCACGTAATGGACCTCGCAGGATAACTTCAATCATTCTGGATGGATGGCCGGCCAGCTGATAGAATTAACAAGACCGTGAACAAGGGAGCAAATCACCTGTGCCTGGTGCTTGTTTCAACTAGAGATCGAGCACCTGTACATAGGATCAACCACCTGTATAAGGACCAACCACCTGTTCCTGCGAGTGGTGTAATCTTATTACTTGCCGGTATCAACAAAGTGCCGCGAGAGAGAGAGAGAGAGACCCACTCTTAATGGTGTTAGCATAAAAGAATAAGAAAATCGAAACCCAACGTAAGAAAAAATCCCAGAGTTTTAGGATCACAAGAAATTTTCCGTCGGCACAAGACTTCAAATAGCAATAACAGACTCATAAAATCTTTTGGGTGTTGCCAGAGATTAAGGTAAACGGGTTACTGCACTGTCGAGGTCCCAAGCTTAAGTGAGGATAGGTCTACGGAACATTAATTAAGGGAGAATTTTCCGGGTTTACCGATAATTAATGGGTGGCAAGGGATAGTGGGGGGCACAAGATTTTTCCCCCGTTACAGCTAAGCAGGACGGGTAATGTGTACGGTATAAGACAAAGGACGAGGGACAAATCTTCAGGTGGACAGGAATGGGCTAGGGAATGGTATAATGGGCCCACAGAATGCCGATGGAGGGCAGAGGAACACTTTGTGGGGCCACAGTTTACGGGGCAGCTTACAGAACACTGCTGGGTAGACAAGAGCGTAAACACCCCACGGAAAAACAAAAACAAAAGAGCCTGAGTGTGACCCGGAAGTAGGTCAGGGTGGGTCGTGGAAGGGTACAAGAGGCGCAAAACTCCTTCATGGCCGCGCAACCTTCACCGCTGCCCCTCATACCAGAACTTCCGGTATGCAAATGAAGTCGTGACCGCTCCATTCGTTTGGTTGCTCTCCCCTTCCTCTCCCTTTACCTGCGCCAACCTTGATAAAGCTATTCAAAAGTGATTATGGGGGTCTTGCCTGTGATAAGATAAAGTAGGTTCTATAAGGTGAACGCGGCGTGAACAAGGCTGGACACAGTTGGGAGATTCCTAGATGCATAAAGCCACCAGCGGCGATGAAGTGACAAACCACAGTACAGTAACGCGTATGTGTGAAGAACTGGTGTATAGTCATCGTCCGATACGGAGCCGTGATGTATTGAATACGACACTTAAAAACGTCGTCGATATTGATGTGCTAAGTATAGAGACGAGTTACAGACCTCTGGGGCAACGTTAATAACCGAGTATCCAAGTATAGAACACAATTCTACAAGACATCATCGTATATAGCAGATGGAGACTATGGACTATGCTGAAATCATGATGGACCGGAGGCACAGCAAGACACAAGCGCCTGGTGAAACTGGTAGAGCAATGGTACCGAGTCGAGATAAACTGATTAACGTCTTATGGCCGGACTATAAGAGCGATACAAAAAGTATGAGTACACATTTACAAAGAGGTAGACCAGAACAGTGCTGAGGAAGAACTACACGCAGGCATTAAAGAGGCGGACACAATTCGTAGTAATACAGAAAACAGTAAAGGCAACAGACTGGGGCAGATGAGGAAGAGCACGGGACAAGGAGACACACTACCTGAGGGGCTGAAGTGAGAGAACCGTATGGGTAACAGGTGGAAAAGTACAAGTGAGAGGAAAGTACCTGGCAAGAAGTAGAATAATACTGTAGGAGAGGAACGTACCTGGCAATAAGTAGAATAATACTGTAGGAGAGGAAAGTACCTGGCAAGTAGTAGAATACCACTGTAGGAGAGGAAAGTACCTGGTGACAGAGGGAGAGCAATACAAGTTGAGAGGCCACAGTACCTGGTGAGACATGATGTCGGCGTGGAGTTGACGGTGTTCCCGGAGCTGCTCGTCCAGACGGTCCCGGTTTAGCGAGGCGGGCTTGCTGGCGTTCCTGGGGGTGACACACACAACACGTTAGTTCTCAAGCATAACAGTCGTGCCTATTGCCGCCTACAACACCCACACAACACCCACACCCGCCTATCTATAACACCCACCCACAGTAATAAATGCCTTAACTTCCTCTCCTTGGTGGGATATGTGCCTAAGCATTACCACGTCCATCGGATATTAAAATTCTATTTTTCTTCAGCAACGGTGACCTTAACCTTTACCCGTGTGAGCACAAAATCAATAGAGAACTTTCTCTTTAGAGGCGAGGTAACTAAGTAATATGTTCCTCTGTGTACAGTATAAAAACTCTAGTTAGAGCCGAGAAGACCAGAAAGACTTAATACAGAACAAAAGCGATATGCCTGGATGCCGGCAATGCCCCTCCGGACAAAACCGCTCTTGGGATAATGACAGATTTAGAGAAAACTAAGGAATTTGTTTAAAAATAATATAACGAAGAACCATTAGCAGTCAACAAGGACTTATTAACACCTGCGGTATACACAACACGCGCGCTAAAACATTTAATAAAACCGCTCCCACGTAATGACTCTCACACCTACACAGGTGGCACCACGTCACGCCCTGAACATCGGCAACACCTCACCATACGTCATCTACCACAAAAAAAAACCTGCACCACCAAGTAAATGCCACCTCTTAACGTGCGCTCATAACACCTGCAGTACAGAACGCACGTCCACAACACCTGCACCACCTACGTTCACTACCCCGTTACTGGATGCATGCCAGGCTTGCCAACCCCACAATTTGTTAAAATGTTTGTACGTTCACCGAAAGTCAATACAGCTGCTGGGGGAGGGAGGGAGGGAGGGGGGGCTCGCAAAAAGGGGGAGCGAAACACTATCGACTTTACTTTTGAAAAACTTCAATATTCGACATTTAAACAGAGCGAATAAAACGTATTTATCGTAGAGGGAAAATTTACACATACAACTTGTCAAGTGAGCACTCCGCCTCCTCATGCTACACCCAACAGCCAACACTCCCTGGGAAGCCAATATAATCTGTCAACACAAGAAGTCCATGACACCACACAGCTTTTTCAGTCAGTCACATTCACACGCCCGTGACCTTGTCGCCCTGAAGCCCCAAGTCAGTACCTCAGACCCAATAACCACCAATCACTGATGGTTCTAAAAAATACTTGATTGTTATGGCTGCAGGCACAGTCGCATCGCACCTCCATCATCCCCAGCACATAAACACACAATCTTATCACACATGTGCATGTCAAATACTCGTCCTTCTCCCTGGACATTATCTTAAAAGTGAGACCCACCGGTAGTGCATAATCAGGGGCATAATCTGTCTGCTTCGTCTTCGTGAGCCTTATACAGGAGGTTACAAATATATAATAAAACACAAACTGAAACTTTAAACTAATCTGTGTAATACTGATGCCAGAGCCAGTCTTCCTTAACTAATTACCGGTACGCTCTTTGGGGTATTATGGTTACTGTCCTCGAGTGTTGGTGCAGGTGTCAGAGAACAAAACACAGCTACACAACAAACTCCAACTGACGCTACAACCATCAGGATAAAAATATCGTCTGGCGGGAATTTAAGAGACAAACACCTAGTTAACCACCCACTACTCCAGTATATAAAACAATAACACGAATTTACTTAGAAACATTTCACCAGTTTAATACGTTATGACAAAGTTGGTTGGTATTAACGTTAAGTCCCTCCCTAAGCCCAGAAATCATAACAATTTAGGAACTTTCCCGCACCACCAATCAGTAACCTTGATCTCCCTCACAACAACAGTCATTCACATTAATGCTACTTCAACACAATTTTTCTTGGCCACTTCAAAGGTCTTTACTCACACTCAACTCTCACTACGATAAACAACAAAGTGGAAATCAAAGTTCAGTTAGGTAAAGTCGCAAACCACTTTTGAACACCAAAGATCTTTTCGACATTCTTAAAACTACAATGTTTTTTCCCTTCTGTATCCGGCTGTTTTCATTACCAAGGAGGAAGTGACATCCTAACACCAAGCAATAACACAAGCCTAGTCGCGAAAGTTTTTGAGTCTATTAAAAATGATCGCACTGTTTTCCTCTTCCTGTCACAATTAATTACCCCTAAGAAAAAATACTATTTTCCGGTACCAATCTTTATCTTAATTTGATAACAGTGAAAGAGAAATCTCATTATACTGCATTAGTAACACCCATAAACATAGAAACTAAATCTAGCCCAAAGTCGCGAGTGTTTTGAAGATTTAAAACAAACTAGTTAATGAGGCAGGAAATAAGTACAAAAGTTGTACCAATAACAGGTAACGGATGGTTAAGAAAACGCTCAAGTGGAGTCACAGGCCTTCCACACCTGTTCTGAACACTGGAGAAGTTTGAGGCAGTGAGATTATCATATGCATTCTTACTCAATACTTTAAAGGGTGATACGCGGCGAATTAAAACATTTACTGGTTAAAAAGCACTGTGAATTAAACCCAAGAGGGGGATCAGATATTGCCAGCACTCTCGCTCCCATTTTCATAAGAATTTACAACCTACAGATCTTTTCCACTCGCTCGGCAAGAATGGTTATTCAAGCAGTCAGAAGTACTGTACAGAAGCAAGGAGTTTAGGATTTCTGAGCAAAACCTAACCTCTAACCGATAATAGTTCAATACACCAGTGAAATCGGATCACGCCATGGCGACCCATGGTGAAGAGAAAAAGAAAAAAAACCACATTCTTAAATTATTTTATTTCCCGATTTTAACTATACCTTAAGGGTCTTAGATGCAATATATACTTCTGAAAGTTGGTACAAGACAATGATATTGCCACTAAGATGTGAGCAAACATCATATCCACAATTTTATCGACAGTGAACACGAAATTATTAGTAACGGAACCATGTTCTAAGGTAATTATTTTTAGACAAAATGTTTCGATACACCAAGCATGTCCATAATACAGGGACCACGATATACACAACAATAACACAGCAGCAAATACAATATACACCGCCGTTAAACTGTCCCAAGATAATAGTGCTTTACAATATTCCAACCACATGGTTCTCTCCCAAAGACTTGAAGTAGACGGCCAGAGTCGCGCCACAGCTGCAGACACGACCAGTGTCAAGGATGAGGAATATAGTTGGTGGTGTCCAAACGTGAGTGTGGATGTCACTAATTATATATTGTTGTATTTTGGGGAAACTCATTACAATATTATCTCGTGCAACTTTACACAAGTATCAGATTTTTTTTATATAGTTTACAATATTCAACAAGAGAAAGCAGAATGTAACGCTCGCCTACCTTATATTAAAGTGTCTACCATAGCTTTGGTGGCTTATCTGTGGGGGCTATGGCGTTCACCCTACACTTGATAACCTTATCGGCACGACCACTTGTCAGCCTTCCTGCCCGTGCTGCAGTGTGCTCGCCCCGCTCACCGCCCTCACGCTTCACTAATCAACATGGTATAGTCTTACAATAACCTGCACATGAACGGACGTGGGTGAAGGGCCACAAAAGTAAGTGGTCGGGCAAGAGCGGGCAGCCACTGTCACCGTGATAAGGCAGGTGCCACCCTGGCTGAAGCTCAGAGCCACGGGGATCTACTAAACCACGAGTTTACAACGTTAAATTAAGTCTTGTTACTTAACTGTGGTTTACCGTTTCGTATCAAGAGGGTGGCTTAACAGGATTATGGAAAGTCGTTATCTGATTGCCGATGACTACCCGGTATTATCTTTTTAATATAACTTTTCTACTCATCATGACGGTCACTCTCTAAAGCTAGTGAACTTCGTCCTCTTATTCCGGAATATTAATGAAAATCTACCACAGGTGATACTCTGGCCGCACCAACTGACACCAGTAAAGCGTAAAGGGCAACAAGTCTGGTAACGCCGAGCTAAAGATGGGTTACGTGGTGATTGTTAACTCTTCTACTGACCCAAATTGGCACGCCAAGTATCTAAAGAATGTTGTTTGGAGGAAAGGTGGGAGACCCTCATGTTACGTTAGATGCCCGCTCTCCCTTCTTCCATTCACGGACACAACTGCTTCCACGAGGTCAGTACTAAGCGTTACTACTGTATTATCATGGACACTGACAAACTTGTGCCGCCGTCCAAACTCCAAGCACTGCTATCCTGTTACCATTCAATTGATGTGGCACTGGCGTCAGTGGAACATGCATATACACGTGAATACACCGGTGGAGTGTGGTGCCAACACGTATGAAGGTCGAGGGTGCCACTCCACCAGGTGCCAACCAGGGTGGCGTGGGCAGCCCAACGCAATCCTGGCACCGTCACGTGGTGCACGCTTCAACTTGGCACCTTGACACTCCCTGCCTCCCTGGCACTCAATCAGCCGAGTGACGACCGTCGAGGATTCAAGATCTTTACCCAAACATTATAGCTCTCGTTTCACATCCGTCACCTCGATATTCTAAGTCAATATAAATTTCCGGAAAATATTGAGGTAGATCCGGCACTATTGTCAGAGTATAAAACGTTTCAACTAAATCGAGGCTTAAATCACAGTTCTTCATTAACACTTGAGCCACTGTTGCCGAGAAGTAATGCCTTGTGTGATAAGCAGATCTCCTCGCCAACCACTTAACACTCAGTCACTTTCAATCGATCCCTTTTTTTTTATCACTTGGCTAAGGTATCACGTGTCACCTTACACATCGGCGGAACTTTTCGTTAATCACTGATAGCCACCCACAAAGTATATATCATCCACTACGGTGTCTCCCACGAGATTTCACCTCACTAACCAAGCAGTGGTAAACTCTTCTTATGTGTGCTCAGGCGATTATTATATCCTTGGCATTTACTTTCATTAAGTTAATCCAACAAATCTCATTCACTCGTCACTTAACACGTTTTGTTTCTTTCACTTTTCTTTTAATACTATATATAATCACATGAAACACAATGAATATCATCACAACTATTATGAATTCCAAAAAAACTGCACCATTAAAGGCAGATGGATAACGAGTGTCGGAGCGAGAGGGGCTGTGCTGTGGGAGAGCGACCCATGCTTCGTCCTCCCTCTGCCAAAGTTCCCGCAACACTGGCTCCCCGGTGATGAAGAGACCAGCCTCAGAGATGCCACGGATGCGAGATACCGCCACCGACCTCCACTCACCGCCACCTCCCACACACCCTATCCCATAAACCAACCTTACATTTAACACTCCACATTCCAAAGAATTAAAAGCTTGGATCCTGTGCCCTGTACTAGGATTAGTGCTGTTCAGTGTCTTCCCAAAGAAAGAATGTAAACCCAGCTTCTCAACGTACACTGTTAAGTTTAGTAAGACACGCAACATTTAGAAAATGTCTGTAGCAATGGGCAACCCATCCACTCGGGTACCTCCTGAGCGAACCTACGCACGCACCACGCCCACGTACACTCCAAATCTTACTGCCTCGCCTTCACTAACACTCCCCACAACAGCAGATGCTTTCATACACGGACTTCAACAAGTTAGAGACAGTTTACAGCATACAGCACAGCGCATCGACCTTTTTTTAGTGTGGACTAGAGGTGCGCAGTACAGGAGGGAAGGTAAAGGAGATGAGAGTTCCCGCGACCAGGACCACCACGTGGGCTGGACAGGTCCGCCATATCCTACTAGATACACACCACCACCCCCAACAACAACTCACACCCACCCACCCACACACACGCACGCACCAACCAATAATTTAACTCACAACAAGAACCAAACATAATACAAATATTCATACCCACACCCACCAACTACCAAACAACAATTAAACATATACCAACAACAAAAACAACCACACACACACTAACTACCAGGCACACAACTAAAAATATACCAGCAATAATAATTCTCGCCTACACACATCAACAACTGGACTCTACCACCAAACTTATCCTCCTCCGTCTTGCCCAATTTTTTTTTCGCACTTAATTTTTTTTTCAACGTGTTCACCATCTATACTCTATTTTTTTGTGTGTGTTCTTAGGAAGGAATACCATAAACAAAGCTCAAAGAGAAAGAAAACGTAGTGTTAAGTTGTATATCCGTGTGACAAGTAGGCGGTTGAAAGACACTTGAGCGACAACTTGCACTAACTCCAAAATTAGCATCCTTAACTGCAGCAGACAGACAAGAGACTCCTCCAGCAGTGCTTAATATGTTCTGGCCCAGAATAATACAGACAAGTACATTTGAACAACTTAATCCATCTCAAGCACCCAGATCTTGGTTATCAGTTCTTAACTACCAAGTGATAAAACTATTGCCAATAAAAACACTGACAATGTTTACCCTTTCTCACGACCGCCACACTACTAACATGACACCCGAACAACAGCAACGCTACACCACACCATTACTAACTTAAATTAGTCAAGGTCTTTTACGGAGAAATGTTAAAAAAATAATAATTTGGCCAATAAACCTGACTTGCATACTAAAGGGTCTGGCAAGGTTAACCTCACAGAAGGTAGAATACCACCTTGGCATGTGGAGACGACATACCAACCATAGCCTGGTCGTTAGCCCCTCACTTCCCCCTGCCTTCCCTCGCAAACCGTCCCCACGGTTGGCCAAAACCGAACGCTTCCCGGTTCTCGTTAACCGGAGAATGGCAGAACGAAAAAAGGAAAAAAATATAATTGTGGCGGGACCCTCAGCGGGAGCCTCCCCGGGGGCGGAGGTGGATGATGCACGGCCCGAGGGACCTGTACCAGCACACCTCCCGGATTACACACGACTCCTCGCCTGTAACTCGGGGGGTCCACACCCTCACCACATTACCACACAAACCACTGCGTCATTCACATTATTATCCCGCCAATACCACCACTACTTCACCTCCCGCCGACTATTTTAATTTGATTCTTAACCACAGACTGGTAATAATATCAATGTATTCCACTAGACTAATATTCGTATATGTTAAACAATCACTCATTTTCGCTTTTAAGATTACTAAGACCTGGTGAAGACCATAGTCCAGATCCCTGATACTTGTCTAGTCGACCAACCACACATCTTCTAAACTACTGGCGCAGTCAGTCACTATTTCACAACTCGTATTAAACCAGTTGATGCATGGAGGTCAGTGACCATGTCTCTTGTTGATTCTAAATAGTCATCCAATTGTGTTAGGGCCACTCGTTAAATTTTAGATCCTACGCAGCTCGGAACACAATTGTGGCAAACAGGCCAATTAATAGTTCGGAATCATGCGAGTTTGGCTACAAAGGTGAAGTAGTTTGTCCACGATAAAACAAAATCTGGCGTGTGAAACCAGAGGAGCCACATAACAGAGGGTTTGAGCCCTTTGTAATACTACGTAAGTGACAACAGGGGTGGTAGATGTAATGATAGGTGCCTGGGTGTAACGACACAGCCCGAAAGTTCCTGGATTGGGGAAGGAGAGGGAGGTGGCCGGGTTAGGGGGAGGGTGGGGGGCTCGAACCAGCTACAAAAGCAACTTTAACTATGCTGTCAAGCTGCCAAAAAATCCTGATAAGTTTTAAAAGTCTGTGGTGGGCTTTGCTTTTACCGCTCAAACTTTAGAAAAATCTTATAAATACATCTTATAAAATGGTATACAAATATAACAATAGCCACTATGATTATGGTGTTTTATGATACGGGTGAAGGAGAGGCCTAATAGGATAACACGAGGATTCTTGCGGGTGTCTAAGAAGACTAAGTGACTAAACTGGTCGTATAACGCACTGCCGGGAGACTGGCAAATGTGGGAATAACGGGAAGGCTGTAAAATAGGCGAGAGAGGCATCATGACAAGTGTTCAGACAAACTTAAATCTCGGCTGGCTGAAAAAAGAATGACTACAGTAACAGTACTTACACACACACACACGTACTTACGATCATAAAGGAGAGAGAGAGAGAGAGAGAGAGAGAGAGAGAGAGAGAGAGAGAGAGAACATGAAAATAACCTATTCTAAACCATCCCAGAAGTTGTCACAAACACGTCGGGCGTACAAGTTATTTTCTCTTTTGCGATCAAGACTATTTTTTCCCTCCACACGCTTGAGGTTAAACAACACTCCACACGAAAAGAAAAAAAAAACGTAGTCTACACTGCTTACGCCAACCTTATAAAATATTCCTCGGGTTACAGAACTTATTACAGGACCCCTTTGATACTCGGGCTACAGAATTACAGTGTCTACCAGGGAGCGTATAACCTTCTCTATTCTATAACTCTTAATGTTCTCTTAGCTAGTGACATTACAACTCGCAACCAATTTTCACAACCCACAACCAATCTGCACAACCCACAACCCATCTTCACAACCCACAACCCAACTTCGCAACCCACAACCCAACTTCACAACCCACAACCCAACTTCACAACCCACAACCCAATTTCACAACCCACAACCCAATTTCACAACCCACAACCCAATTTCACAACCCACAACCCAACTTCACAACCCATCTTCACAACCCACAACCAATCTTCACCTTACAAACATCGAATTTAAATATGGTGGGTCAACGCCAACTGATCAACACCAAACTACAGTAATAACCTTTCAGCTTGGATACTCCTTTAACAGTTGCAATACATAACGCTGCTGCATTTAGAACATACACGACGAAAATACAAACTTATACTATACTGTATATCTATAGAACATGGTAAAGCTAATACGGGTGCGTGGGTTTCAACAAAACTACAAAGAACAAATCTGATATCTGCCACAAACACCACCTTCAGATATTTAACAGCATTATAAAACTCCAGGTAATATGGAATAAAGTTCATCTCATTACAGTATCCATGCACTAAATTTAAGTCAATGTTCTTTTCATCCAAGTACTGTATGGTGAAACAAGTAACGGCGTGGAGCACAATGGTCACTCTCCAATATATCAGACAAATTGTGTCGACTATGGTGTTCTAAAATATAGTACTGTACTGCTGAAGTTAGGTTACAGCTTAAAGTCCCCCATGAACTACATAATATCTGCCCGTTGTAATGATGCTGCTGCTGCTTATTCAGATAAAGTATTGCCATATGAGATAATACCTCTAAGATCCTCACTGAAAATCTATTAAGTGTGATAATACTGTATTCCCAATGTGGATCAGGTACACCACAGCTCATAAGAAGAGTGCAGCACTGTTTTAAGCTCTGTTGCTTAGAACAAGAGAATTCTACCTTTAAGTACTGTACTAGTCATGTTGTCCTTATACATATACTGTACTATCTTGGTCATTAATAACTAACAGCAATTATGTCCCAGGAAGAAAAGGCTAAAATGCCTATGAACCTTATGAACAGAATTTAACTTATTTCACCAAGAATTACACATATAAAAATGTGCAATTCAGCCAATGTAATCGAGTTCAACTAATCACACAGGAGGAATATCTTTCCCTGCGAGTCTGACCAACTGTGATGCCAGCTACAATATGCTCTGTGCACCTCAGACTGTCTTTGACTATGATAATAAATACTTGTACAGTATACAAAATATATTTTCATCACTTACTTTAGCTGCAGGTCAATGCTGTTCAGCCAAGACATAAGAGAGTCTAGGCCTTCCTGGACACCCTGGCACTGGACAAGGGCAGTATCAAGTTCCTGGCAGCGGTATCCCAGACGGTCAGCCAACTCCGCATAGCGTTCGTACAGCTCCTCTGGGGGATGCTCAATGGCCTCCTGCTCACGGGCGTCCAGTTCTCCCTCCAGGGCACGGAGCAGAGACACTGATGTTGCACGGCAGTTGTCAAACAAGCGTGACTGTGCCACAACATCATTATTAATGGCCTTGGCCTTGTCCAATTGGTCTTGAACACCCTTGGGGTCAGCACCAACTGGTTCTTGCAGAATGCGAACCACCTTCACCTCTGTGTCTTTGAGCCAACGGGTAGCTTTCTCAATAGCTTCTGTGTAATCACGTTGTTTGTTACCCACACTGGTTGCCTGAAATTGTAAAATCATATGGTTAGCAACTTTCTCTTATAATCAAACTTTTCTTGCTTTTCACATATCAGAAGTAAAAAGTCGTCAACTACAGTGTACTATAAACTAATTTTCATACAACATACCTTATCTACAAGTTTATTGGCACGTGCAAGGAGGTCCTTGAATTCTGCAGTGACATCATCAGCTGCATCACGAACCATGGAGTCTGGGTCAGCCTGCAACAATGGATAGCGCTCTGGCAGGGAGGTGCGGAAATTGTTGACAGTGCGGAGATACAAACTTGATTCATCCAGGAATTTCTGTGTGGCCATGGTTATGAAGCGTAAGTCAGCCTGGTGGGCGATGACGTCACCCAGAAAATCTCGGCAGCCTTGTTCATGATTCTTGATTTTATTGAGGTCTGAGCAAAGACGTTCCTTCTCCAGGAGAGTCTTGGTGGCTTGCTTCAGCCAAGTCTGGAAGAGTGCAATCTCCTTTTCATATTTTGAAAATTCTTCCATGGCAGTGGTTAGACGACGATGTGTAGTGTCAGCCTGAACCACACAGTGGTCATAGCGCTGCTTCAGTAGTGTGGCAGCCTGGTCCAGGGACTCGAGCTCCTCACGGGACAAGACATCACCACCCTGGTTGACTACCTGCCTCACACCATCCAGGCATGTACCCAGAGGTCGGAACATTTCATCCAATTCATCCTTGATAGCCTGTAACAACAAAAGTTACCAAAATATAACTACAGTACTGCACAAAATTCAATACTGTATTAGATCATTTATCCACAACACATATATTTTTCTTAACAAATTCCCTGATTTTATCTTCTGAAACAAAAGTAAAACAAACTATTCAGTGCATTTTTGGTGTGAAGATTAATCACTTCTTTTTAATCAATAATATACATAACCTTAACTTTCAATTAATATTTAGAAATTAATATTCAAAGAAACTTCCATGAAACAGAATGAGAAACCTGTGAGAAGCATACTGTACCTTGACTGTGTTGATCTGGTTTCGAAGACCATTTGGATTCTCACTGACAGGTTCTTGCTCTGCCAGGCGCCGCTCGATCTCATTTACGCTGTCCACCATATCCACAATGGTTGCATCGCACTGTCTGTACTTCTCGATCATGGCTTGCTGTAATGTACACATGTAATGCATGTTACTAATTGGTTGTGACGCAGTAGCTCATCCAGAGTATGCTAACAACAGCTCATCCACTGGTTGTCTTTGGTAAGGTGAAGACTGGTGCGGAGTTGCACTGTCATAAGCATACCCAGGCCAATCCTACTGCGCCCACGTATAAAACATTACTAAAAACTCAAAGCTACGTGCTGAATCATCAATGCTACAATACATTGGATAAAATGCTTTGGATGCAACATGACCAGCATACAATACAGAGCAATAACAAAAAAATATATATATAAGGGAGACAGTGTAAGAATATCGTTAGTAAAGCTACTATTTTAGGAAAAGGTGTACATGTCTGCAGGTGTATGGAGGGAATGGGAGGGTGGAAGGATGTAGGAAGAGGGGGAGGCTGGAGGATCACACAAGCCATGGAGAGCAGGCAGTCGCAAAAGCCCACGGTCCATGACAGTCAGCCAAAGTCGTAATGCACAGAAAACGACCTGAATGCAGGCACAAAGAAACATCCGTAGCGCCAAAGAAATAAAAAATCCTAAAATACAAAAAATAAACGACAAAATCAAAGAAATACATAGAAATATGCACCAAAAACATAAACCTTACAAGCTACCTTAATGTTTACAAAAGAAGCCACATATCAGCCACAACTGAATTCTGTTTAAAATACAAAAAAATCCTTGAATAAATAAAACAGATAAAAGGTACATCCAGTTAGTTGACCTTTCACCAGTTTTAGTTGGTAGGCTAAATACAGTACTGAAGTTTAGGTTAGTACCAATCAACACCATTTACAGACCTCAAGCAGAAATAAAATTACTTGTTAATTTGCAATCTTCCATACATTTACCACCCATATTAATACTAGAAGCCAGCTATTGCCTGTTAAGTAGTAAGTACTGGTGCAGGCATTCCAAAATGATAATAGCAGTAGCAATAGTACATCATACAGGACTGCGATTGTACTATACTTGCTACACAAAGAGCGTTAGAGATGGTAGCCGGTGGGTGCAGTATCATTCCCCAAGCGTAGTTAATGGTACAGCTTACCCGCGCTTGCGCGGTGAGTAGATAACCCTGGCGGCGGGCCTCCGGAAGCAGGTAGCGGGTGCCTGAGGTCGAATCCACCACAGCGCCACCCTGCTCGTCGAGTACCCCACTCCGTACAGCCTCAGTCATGCTTTGGATGTTGCCACTGGAGGGACACTTTACCATGGTTGTGGTGCTGTCAATCAGCCCACAGGCTATTGCCTCTTGCAGGGTGATATGTTGCTTCAGGTGTGGGTTTAACAGACGTCCCGTTTCTACACTAAAGAGGCCATAGTCCAGAGCTTCAAGAAGGGCAAGACCACGGCGAGGGGTAACAATCAGACCAGTCTCGATAGCAGCAGCCATAGTGAGCAGATGACTGGTGGCTGTATTATACACCATGCCCTTCTCTGCATCAACGGCTCCTATCTCACATGCCTCCACTGGTTGTAGCAGTTGTCGGTTACGAGTGTTCTTTATCAGCACGGTCTCCGAATCGATGAGTCCCAGGCGGCAGGTCTCCTTCAGGTTCAGAACCTCCTTTGAGTTAGGGTCAGTATACATGCCTGTTTCAGGGTTAAGGTAGCCTTTATCAATGGCTTCGTCAAATGACAGGGGTTCCCTGAGGAAAACAATGGTGCCCTGGTCAAAGATAATGCAAAGAGTCTTCAAAGTACCAGTCTGAGGGTCAAAAAGAGCCCGTTTCTTTAAGTCAATTAGTCCTTCCCCGATGGCTCGCTTTAGCGTTTTGTATCTGCCAGTGTTTGGATCCTTAATAACTGCAGAATCAGGATCAATAAGTTCAAAGCAGAGGGCTTCTTCTAATGTGTACTCCTTCTTTGATTCTGGATCTGTATAAGTGCCTTTCTCAAAGTCAATGGAACCCTCTCTAACTGCCTGCATGAAGCTAATTGGTTTGCCTACAGTCACAATAAGTCCTTTTTCATATGCTACATTGATGGTGTAAGCCTTCATAGATTTAGGATCGGTGACAAGGCCTTTAGAAGCATCAATCTCTTTGTCCTCTATGGCAGATCGGATGCTCTTAATGGACTCGTCCACAGGGTTCTTCAGGGCAGAGGTGTTGCCATCAATAAGACCATGAGTAATGGCCTCTGCAATATCAAGCTTGTCTCCCACACATGGCTCTGTAAACCGTCCAGTTTCTGGAGAAAACAGACAGTACTGTAATGCTTCTTCAACAGTGAGTGGCCGCTTGGAAGTAACTATTAAGTGTTTGTCAACAGCATCTTCAAGTGTCAGTTCTTCTTTAGTCTTGGGCATGATGTATTTGCCCTTCATATCATCAATGATTCCTTCATCAACAGCTACATTTAACTTCAAGAAACGAGATTTAATTGGATCTCTGATGACCGAGATAGACGGATCAACTATATCTTGCTTACAAGCATCTGCTAGAGTCAATTTTCGACCCGTGTTTGGTTGGATCATGCGGCCCGACTTATTATCATGGAAGCCCATAGTAACTGCATCATACAGACTTTGTGGTTTGTCAATATCAAGGATCATACCGTGCTCAAGAGCATCTATGAGGGTGAGGGTGCAGCCAGACTTTGGGTCATTAAACTTGCCATGTCTGCGATCAATAATGCCTTCCCTGCAGGTCTGTACAAGTGACAAACAATTGGAAGTGTTGCTGTCCCAGTAGCAAGGCAGGCTGGGATTTATAACAAGTCGCCGCATAGCCTCATGTAACGTGATCTTCCTGCCAGTGTTAACATCAGTCAGAAGTCCCTGCTCATCATCGAGCAGTCCCTGGTGTAGTGCACGCTGCAGTGACATGGCTACACGACTGTCCACAATGAGTGTCAGTTCGTATGCCTCCAGTAAGGTGTGCCAGCTACCTGTCTGGTGGTTCTTTACTAAAGCAGACTCCCCATCAATTATTTTATACTCAACAGCTTCCCTTAGATTCACTTTCTTCAGGCGACCAGAGAGCGTGTCCTTCACATGCGTGGAGTCAGGATCAATCATCTGTATAGCCAATGCTTCAGAGAGTGTAATCCATTCCCCTGTGGATGGATTCAGGAATTTTCCACATTCCTCTTCATAGAGTTCCTTCATAATCACAACTCTCAAAGCCATTGGCATTGGTGCCTCAAGAAGGTAGTCCTGCTCAAATGCATCCTTGAAATTCATCTTCTTAATTCTTCCAAAGTTGAACATCCCAGTTCTGGTATCAACAAGTTCCTTCCCAATAGCATGCTTGAAACTCATAAGTTTTTCTGTTGTAGGGTCTCTGGCCAGAGTTGTATTCGTGTCAATGAGACCAGCACGTATTGCACGGCCAACAGTCATCTGGTCTGGCGACAGGGGACTGGTGACACGGCCTGTGCTAGGGTTATACAGCCCTTTGGTCACAGCCTGATAGAGGGTAAACTTTGTTCGACCTTCTATAACAACACCTTTAGTCAAGGCCTCCATTAATTCAACATCAGCTCCTGTTACAGGGTCTCTGAATGTTCCAGTGGTGGGATCAATAATGCCAACTTTGATAGCATCTTCCAGAGTGATTGGTTCACCAGTTCGTGGATCTTTTACCGAGAGGCAAGAAGGATCAATAATATTTCGCTGGACAGCTTCCTTTATGGTGATGCGGTCACCATCTACAGTGATCAGACCAGTCTCTGGATCATATAAGCCATCTTCAAGAACTTGTTGTAATGAGAGGGAACCAATAGCTGGCACAAGGTAACCTTTTCTCACTGCCTCATCAAGGCTTAGCTCTTCTGGCTGAAGTAATTTTCCATTTTCACCATCCAAAATAGCCTTGTCAAGAGCATCACTAACAGTGTATGTTTCTTCATTTATCTTTACTCTGCATGTATTTGCATCAACCAATTTATAAAATATTGCTGCATTTAATGTTAAATCTTCGCCCTCACAAGCATCATAGAAGTGGCCTTCCTGTGGATCATACATGTCACTTAGCACTGCATCAGTTAGAGTTACAGGGTTCCGTTGTATTACTATCATACTCTGTCGTACTGCTTCATCAAAAGTGATGAAAGTATTCTTTTTTGTGTTCTTTAACTTCCCATTCTGAGCTACAACCAAGTCATTGGTTAAAGCATCATCCAAGGTGATGAACTTGTCTGCCTTTGCATCTTTACATAGTGTGATGAAAGAGTCAACAACTCCTCTCTTAACAGCATCATCCACATCTAGTTTTTGTTTCATGAGTGTGTCTGTGATCTTCCCAGACTTTGGGTCATAAAGATTCTTCCTCACTACAGCCACTAGAGACATGGGCTTTCTCTTGGGTACTAATATTCCTTTGGTAAGGGCTGTAGTGAAGTCTATCTCGCAACCATTTTCTGGGTCAGTAAATGTCGCTGAATCCAAGTCAACAAGACCAATCTCTACTGCTTCCTTTAGAGAAACGATGTCTTCATTCCTAGGGTCAAAGATCTGCACTGTGGATGGGTCAAGAAGGCCACTTTGTACAGCATCTCCAATTACCATACTTTTGCCAGTAGTTGGATTCGTGAACATCCCAGTATCAGGTTTGAGTAGGCCCTGCTCAATGGCCTCATTAAGAGCAATCATGGGTTCTGGTTTTTCTTCCAATTTCTTAAGTTCCTTTTTGTCATCAGCCTTCACTAAACCATTCTTTGCAGCCTCAAAGAATGGTAAACATTCCCCAGTCTGAGAGTCTAAGATTTCACCTGTAGTAGGGTCAACAATGCCCTCTTTAATAGCATCAGTGAGAGGAATTTCTCGACCATTTAAAGGATCTTTCACAAGAGTATGATCTGGAATTAATGAGCCTATCTCCACGGCTTTCTGGAAGGATACTGGTTCTCCTGTCCTTGGGTCGATGAAATTACCATTCTCAGGATCATACTGTTCCCTTTGAGCCATAACTGCCGGATCTAAGGTCTTGACCACTTCTGTTATAATTGTTATTTCCTCAACAATCCAGATTTCAGTTCTACTTCGAATTTCGATGACAGTAACAAGTGTAATAGAACCTTCTCTCACTGCTCGCCGTAATGGTTGTCTGTCTCCTGTGGACGGGACAACAACAACACACAAATCAACATCGATGTAACATCCCTCCATTGCAGTTCTCAGTGTCATCTTCTGGCCAACTTCAATGATAGGGAAATACAACTTGTCTTCAGGGCTTAAAGATGGCCTCTGCAGCATGTCTTCAGCTGTTCTGGCTGGCATATATTCCTGAACTATCTCTGTAACTATGGTTGTCCTGACCTGTTTTGGAGAAGTTTTCATTTTCTCCCGAGCACCTTTAATGACTTCTTTGACTGCCATTCCTGCAAGAATAGGAGCACCTATGACAGCAAGTAGACCCATCTTGACAGCATCTTTAACTTTTACTTTAGTCCCAGATTTAGGATCGATAAAGTCACCGGCTTTAACGTCAATTACTCCTTTATCGATGGCCTCCTTCGTAGTTAATGCATCACCACTCTTCGTGTCATAGACCATTGCATCTGGATCAATTACTCCTTTATCAACGGCTTCGTCTAGAGTCAACAATGTTCCAGTTTGTGGGTCTTTGAACTTGCCAGACTGTTCATGATATATAGTAGAGAAGGCCTGCATGATGTTAATCTTACTGGTTACCTCAGTCGATGGTGCAGGTTCTACGGGTTCAACCAAACCTAGTTGAATAGCTTTGTCAATCGGAATTTTGCGGTTAGTTTCAGGGTCCTGGAAGGTTCCACTTGCAAAATCAATGAGTCCTCGCTCAACAGCCTCTCTGAATGTCAGCTTCTGCCCACTGGTCTCGGAGTCAATTTCTACAACCATTCCTTGCTTCTTTGCCTCTTCAAGTGTTATCACTTCCCCTGTGTTGGTATTCTTCACCTCAGTTGGGCTGATCAGTACATAACCAGATACTACTCTCACAGTCTTGGTTGTAATAGTTTCATATGAAGTAACAGTTTCTGTGAAGGAAACCTCTCTTCTTACATCTGTTTTATCAGTTATTACTTTTGTCATAGGTCTGATCTGCAGCAAGCCACTTTCAACAGCCTCCATAACTGGAACTTCTTCACCAGTATTTGGAACGGTGAATGTGCAGGCATTGGTATTTATCAGTTTGCAATCCAGAGCTTGTGTAACCTGTACACTATCTGGCAGAATAGGGCAAGGCAGAGCAAGGATAAAGTCATTGTCAATAGCCATCTTCAAGGGCTGGCGGTCACTTGTCACTGGGTTAATGATTTCTTTATTGTCTGCATCCACAAGGCCTCTCTCCAATGCCACAGGGAAGGTCATTCCAAGAGGAGGAAGCCAATCAACCCTAGCCACTGCTGAGGTAACAAACACATTGGAAGCATCAACTGCCTCTAACATAGACACTGGACCTTTCTTTAAGTTCACCTGGCCAGAGTTTTGGTTAATAATCCCCTTTGAAATAGCTTCATCCAGAGTAATGATTTGTTGTGTGTCTGGCTCCAATATCTGTGACGATGGATCGATAATATCACACAGTATAGCCTCGTGTAGAGTCAATCTGGTGCCGGTCTCTGGATGAATGAATCGTTGAGATTCAATATCATAAAGTCCTTGAGATATTACTTCAGGCAAAGTAACACTTCTTCCAACCGGCACTAAGACTCTGCCTGTAGCACCATCAAGGACACCATTCTCAACAGCCTCATTGATGGTTAATGGTACCCCACATGCTATATCAACAATGGCTCCACTATTACCATCAACTTTCTTTAATCTTAAAGCGTCCTCTAATGACAAAGACTCACCCTCAGGCCCTCGGAAAGTATTGGGGTCCTCCAGGATGGCAGCAGTTTTCTCATCAACAACACCCTTGGAGGCTGCTTGCTTTGGTCTCATAGTTTTTCTGCATACTTTCTGTAATATTACTTGTTTTCCCTCATGATCAGGACGTGGCATCGATTTTGCACGACCAATAGCAACACTGAACTTAGGCTCTGTTGTGACACGTTCTCTTGTTCTTTCCCCAAGAGACATCTTCCTCTCAGAGTCTTGGTCATTGGGGGTTTTATCTCTGCTTGGGGTTTTCACTGGGCTAGCTTTATCCCTCTGTTGGTCAGGTTTGCTTTCCACAGCTTTCTTACCCTCTACTGAAGGCTTATGTTCATCCCTTTCTCGAGCTGTATCCTCCATTTCTTTATCTTCTGAAGGAGATTTAATGGGTGATTTTGGTTTACTATCAGCAGACAAGGCACCTGTGGAGGGTTCTGGTTTACTTTCAGAAGGCAGGGAAGGTTGTGGTTTATCTTCAGGGAGCAGGGCCTGACTGGATGGTTCTGGTTTACCATCAGAAGGCATGAAAGGCTCTGGTTTACCCTCAGAGGGTAGGGCCTGACTGGAGGGTTCTGGTTTACCTTCAGAAGGCAGGGCCTGAGTGTGTGGTTGTGCTTTACCCTCAGATGGAAGGGGCTTTGTGGATGGCTCTGGTTTACCCTCAGAGGGAAGGGGCTGGTTTACCCTGTGGATGGTTCTGGTTTACCCTCAGAAGGCTGGAATGGTTCTGGCTCAGAAGGCAGGGATGGTTCTGGTTTACCCTCAGAAGGCAGGGATGGTTCTGGTTTACCCTCAGAAGGCAGGGATGGTTCTGGTTTACCCTCAGAAGGCAGGGATGGTTCTGGTTTACCCTCAGAAGGCAGGGATGGTTCTGGTTTACCCTCAGAAGGCAGGGATGGTTCTGGTTTACCCTCAGAAGGAAGGGGCTTTATGGATGGTTCTGGTTTACCCTCGGAAGGCAGGGTGGGTTCTGGTTTAAGCTCAGAAGGCTCTGGTTCACCCTCAGAAGGCAGGGCCTGAGTGGGTGGTTGTGGTTTATCCGCAGAAGGCAGAGAGGGTTCTGGTTTACCCTCAGAAGGCAGGACCCGAGCAGATGTATCAGGTTTCTTCTCTGGGGGTTGGGTCTTGCCAGAGGGTTCTAGTTTACTTTCAGAGGGCAGTGCCTGACCAATGGGCTCTTTTTCACCCACTTGACCTGTGGGCTCTGGTTTACCCGGAGAGGGCAGGGCTTCACTGGAGGGCTCTGGTTTGTCTTTAGAAGGGGTTCTATCTACTGATGGTTTTTGCTTACTCGCAGAAGGCAATTCACTACTGGGAGATTTTTGTTTTTCTGTAGGAGAGAGTTGCCCAAGTGACTGGCGGTCAACATCATCTTTTGGCATTATCTGTTCATCTTTCACTTCTCCTCGGGAGACATCATCTGAAGTAAGAATTTCAAACACTTTCTCCTCTGGAACAGTATCTGCCTCTTCTCTAGCCAACTTCTCAACTTCCTGGATTTTCCCATGAGCAGTGCTCCTGATTTCCTCAAGTTCTTCAGGAGATATTAATCCCCGTGAAAATGCCTCTTCAGGGGTAATCTCTTTTCCTGTCACAGGATCCTGAAGTATGACATCTGTTTCAACAACTGTAGTTGACTTGATGGTCGTATGAGAACGTTTACTTACCACAGATTCAAGGAGTTCCTCAGGTGTGGAATCTGTGATTATTTCTACACTTTCTTCAAATGTTATTTCTGCTCCTGTTTTAGGGTCAGTTCTTTTCACTTTCTTAATGCCTTTCTTGATGGCTTGTGCTGCAGCCACTCCAGCAATTACTGGGGCACCTATTACAGCTGCAACTCCAAGGATGCCATACTTGGCTGCATCAGTTAAAGACAATTTACGACCTGTCTTGTCTTTGTATTCTCCAGAGTCTTTGTCAATAATTCCCTTTCTTATGGCTTCACTCAAGTTCAAATCACGTCCAGAGTAAGGATCCTTCACTTTGACTCCTGTAGGTTGAATCTTTCCTTCTTTAACTGCTGTTACAACATCCAAAACTGAACCATCATCCAACTGAACATTACCTTCTGTAGGGTCAAAGGTCATCCCAGGCTTAATTTCAACAAGAGTAGTATCCACTACTGGTTCATTGGTTCTAATTTCTCTAAAAGTGCTGGAGGTCCCACCTTCTACACTTCCCGACACCTGAACTTTGTCTGGTTGTCCCTCAACAGTGGTGATCTGGATGACACGACCAGTTATATAGTCTGTAACCTCCTCTGTACGATCTTTTAAAATTATTAACTTTTTGGTTATCGCTTCCTTCATGGTCAACCTTCTGTCTGGATTGGACTCGTCTGGATATTTTCCAGTGCAGTCCAAGACGTTCTTATCCAAAGCTCTTGTCAGAGTAATTTTCCGCCCATTTTTGGGGTCTATGACTTCAGCAGATCGAGAATCAATAATTCCAATTTTGACACATTCTTCAAAGCTAACTAGCCTGTCTGTGGCTGGTATTGTGAAAAGACCCATAACTGGATCATACAGCTTTTCATCAATTGCCTCCTTGAGATACCACCCCTCCGGTGGGAGCTCGAGAGTACGAGTCTTTGCAGAATAGCTTTCATTGAACACAGTAGTAGTGCCTGTCAGTGATGCACCCGATGAAGTCATATCTGTATCATCAACATTCCCCATGGCACTATCAACAGAATCAGCTGGAGACCTGAGAGTACTCTTAATTTTCCTTGGGGGTCTTTCTGGTGACACTATTGAGCTCCCTGGCATACCCTTATCAGGTGAAGTAGGGACAGATTCATCAGTTTTCAAGGGAGACTCTGGTCCTATTCCACTGGATTTCATTGGAGAATCTGGTCTCGAGCCAAATGATTTGACAGGTGATTCACCTCTTGAGGAGGCATATGGTGATTCCTGTCTGGAACTGGAGGACTTTACAGGAGATTCTGGCTGAGACTTTATTGGTGAGCCTTCTTGTGAGCCATTTACAGTCTGGAATAATGAGTCTGGTCTGGTGCTAACTGGCTTTGTTGGTGAGGTTGGACTAACACCTGGCTTAATTGACTCCTTTACAGGGGATGTTCTTCCTAATTTAGTTGGAGACTCTTGGTCCTTCACTAAAGATTCTATTGTCTCTAAGGATCCTGGTCTCTGTCTTTTGTCTGGTGAAGTTGGACGACTGGTTTTCATCGGTGATACTGTTCTCTCCGGTGTCTTTGAAGGAGAGGAAGGTCCTTTATCTTTGACCTTCTCTGGAGAGGCTGGACGTCCGCTTTTCGTGGGCGAAACAATTCTCTCGGGCGTCTTGGATGGGGAGGAAGTAAGTGATCCAACGGAGGAAATTTCCTTGTCTGTCTTTTGTGGGGATGTAGTACGACTAGTTCTCCCCAATATTCTCTCTGGAGATTTTGAGGGCGATGAACGTAGGGAACGCATATCACGATCAGGCGTCTTTGTTGGTGAACTCATTCTATCTGGCGTCTTTGATGGTGAAGAATGAGGCGATCTTTCTAAGCTTTCCTTATCTGGTGTAATACTAGTCCTAGCACTCTTGATTGGACTAGGAGACTTCGCAGGGGAAAGGTGACGCTTCATGGTTTCTCTTATTGGAGAAATGGGGACTGCAGAGTCATCTGGAGAAGCATCAGGTAATGCAGAAGGCCACTCAGTTGACAAAGTAACCAGCCCCTGTTGAATAGCTTCATCTAGTGGTATAGTTTTATCACTTTCTGGATCGTGGTAGGTGCCCTGAGCCTCATTAATAAGACCCCTGTGTTTTGCTTCCTGTAGAGTAACTCTTGATTCAGTAGTATGAATACCTGTACTTTTAACAGTGACATACCTCTTGATGGTCTTTGTAATTGTTGCAGTCGTGACAGTAACACTCAACAGACCCCTTAAAGTAGCTGCTCCTTCAGGAGAAATTAATCTTCTATTCACTGCATCCTCAAGGGCCACTGGCTTTCCTGTCTTGGGATCTAGAATTTGCCCTATATTGGGGTCAAGACGGCCTTTCAAGACTGCTTCTACAACATTCATTTCTTTACCCTCATCATCTGTCATTCCAATATCCATTTTCAGTGTTTCAAGAATCTGTGGCTGGATCATCTTTACTGAAACAGCTTCTTCCAAACTCATAGTATTCCCAGTCCTTGGGTCGGTAAACAAACCAGTTTTTGGATTAATAACACCTTTGAGCACTGCTATTTTGAAACTTATGTAATCCCCAGTTTCAGGATCCTTGATACCATCAATATCAAATATTGTTTTAGTGGACACCGATGTGATAAATCCCCTATTCACAGCATCTACAAGGCTGATGACTTCTCCACTTTCAGTGTCCCGGTACATTCCTTCAGGCAGGAGCACCGAGAACATGAATGCCTCGGGTAAAGTGAGAAGAGTCTTGCTCGCCGTGTCCTTTACCGATTTTAAATCTACATCAACAATTCCCTTACCAACAGCTTCCAAAAGTGGTATGTGGTCTTTTATTTGTGGATCTTGTATATGTCCTTTGTTGTCAAGAAGCTTCAAATCACTACAGTCTTTCAGTGTGTAAGGTCGACAAATAAGCTGTTCCTGCACAGCTTCAGAGAACAGTAACTTCTGCCCAGTGACATTATTGACATAACGTCCAGCTGTAACATCTAGCACCCCTTCCTGAATAGCCTCAGCTACAGTCAATTTACATCCAGTATCTGAATTCACTACCTCACGAACATGAGATGCTAAAAGGCCTTTCTCAACTGCTTCATCTAATGTATACTTGTTTCCAGAATTTCTATCTACAGCCTGACCTGAATAATCATCAATGAATCCCTGGCTGATAGCTTCCGACAGAGATATTCCACTTGTTAAAACTGGTGACGGTTCAGCAGATATGAATCCTCGGGCAAAAGCTTGAGTCATGGGAATCTTTTCTCCCACAGTAGGAACGGTGAATTCTCCCGTGCGGACATTGACATGGCCCTCAACTATTGCGTCATAGAGAGAGAGCGAAGCCACCACTGGTACACAAAGCTGGGTAAAGAAGCTTACCTTCTCTAAAATGATGAAACCAATCTTTGATGCCTCCTCAGGTGTCAGCAGTTTGCCTGTTGTGGGATCCTTGAAAGAACCTTCTTCAGGGCTGTATAACCCTCGCTTGGTCGCCTGTAACAATGTTAATTCTCTTCCTGTGGCAGGGTCTATTATACCACAGGGTGTATCCAAATGTTGTAAGAGTATGGGGCTTACATAACCACGTTCCACAGCTTCAGACAGCGGAATGTTCTCACCAGTGGAAGGGTGAGTCAGTGTACCTGATGTAAGGTCCACCAACCCATCCTGAACAGCTTGGTGAAAAGAAATTTTTTCACCTGTCACAGGATGGACTAAGTGAAGCTCTGCAGCCTCAGAGGCAGCAGTGGCAGCAGCCATGCGGCGAGTGGATGTTGTGGTGGTAACCTGGAAGGAGGAACCTATATGGGTGGTGGTAGTGGCTACATGACTATCCACAGAGTCAGATTCCTTAAGTTGTGTAGCTGAGGAGCGACGCTGTGAGGGGATGGAGCCTCTAGTGACCATCATCTGGGCTTCTGAGCGAGCCCGATACACCGAGTCATCATCACTGCAAAAAAGATAATGTTGTACACAATAAAGGCAGATATACACTATGTACATACTGTACTG